GTTGAAAGAAGCAAAAGAGACGAGAAGACGATGTAATCAGTCCATCACCCTTGAAGTTTTGAGGTGGTCAGTCCCTGAGTCTGGAGAAGAGTATTGTTCCATAGTCTGAAACAATATGGAACTGAAGTGACAGGATGGAGCCTTATATACCGCGAGGTGAGATGTAGATATTTTATACCATTTTAATGTTCACAACATCGCAACATTAGCTGCTTTAATAGCCGCTCTCTGCTTCACAATAGTCGAGATCGTAGACTTATGCTTCTTGAAACCACAGCAAGATCGGTAACACGCACACCACCCCTCACGGGAGGTTCCTTGATGCTGGAGAGGGGCTCTTGATTTAGGGAATTGGATCTGTGCTCCAGTTCCGTGAATTGAACCTGAATACCTTCCACCCCCTCCCCCACATGCGCTATATAATCCTACGGGTTTAGAGCTCCCTCATGATTATAATAGTTATAACACGCACACCACGCTCATACTTTTCAGTAATTTCCTTCTTCACTTCTATTTCAATCTTCTTCACTTGCTTACAGGTCATCGTTAATTGCAAAATGAATTAAAAAAACACGCGAAATACAACACAAGGAGTTCAGGGCGAATGAACGCATGTCTGACCGAGACCGACTACAAGGCGAGGGGTCTTTGTTAGGTGTAAACAAACAACAGGAAGTGGAGAAAATTGGCGCGTGCGAATAAAATGTCGCAGAATGTGAAAATTGGCGCGGCTGTGTTTGTTCAGCACCCGATTATGTGTGCGTGACCAGATGCAAAAATCTGGCCAATTTCTCGGTCGTGAACCAATTTGTTCATGTTCGGAAGCGTTCGTGACCAGAGGTTCCACTGTACTTCATTTACAGTGATTACAGTTTTGTACTCTTGTATCAGAACTACGACTCTCCGCCAAGTCGTTCACCACCTTCAGTCTGCTGACGACTACTTGACTCGTCAGGCGCGAAGATTAAAAAAGTCAAAGTGAAGGATTCTTCTCCAAGAAGCTGCCATCCAAGCCAAGGATGCAGTAGAAGTCATTTGAATGACCACTAAAAATATAGGGCTGGACCTTACCTTGATGGTTTGAAGGTCTACGGCCGATTTCCCGAGGGGCTCGTGATATTCCTTGATGGTTTCCTTTTTTTCTTTTCATCATCTCTGCAGTAGGGACCGAGTCGTCGAGGAGAACAAGGGGAGCCAGCTTCTCATTCAAACGCCAGAGGTTATCTACAAATTTCTTTAAAGTGGTTCTTGCGATATTCACCTTCTGCGCAATAACTTTTTTTTTTCATGCGCTGGAACAAGATGGGAAACAGGTACCCAAAACTAAGCCCTGAGGTAACGTTTTACAACGAAAATCGTAGATGGTTCGCAGTCCAGCTTCCTCCTGTACCGACAACTTAAACTGAGTTTTGAACATCTAAACGCTGAATGAGTAGGTACCTGTTGCTACCCAGTGAGCGCTGTGCAATCCTCCAGGAGCACTAAATCCAATTCCACGAAGCCAGGTAGATGATTGTGATCGCTATAGGTCCGGGTAATCGCCCAGGGGTTGAATGCGCTCAGGAAACTGCTGGTTCCTCATATATGGCAGTCGCGAAAGACGATTTATCGATGACGGACCACAGTTATTGAAAGTGCTTGGACAATTTAATTTCAGGCTCACTCGAAACGCTTATGATAGATTAAAACGCTGCTTCCAGGAAATTCTCCTGGAAGTGATGGCGACAGACCTAATGAAGAAGCTCTTTAAATCCAGATTTCGCTCTAATACAATGCTGGAGCTATTGATCGTTCCTGTGATGGAAGTGGCTGTATCAAAGGACAAGCACGCGAGCCTCTCTTTAAGTTACACTTTTCTATTACTAAGTCTTTGGCAGCCGTCATGGCTCTCCCAGTTCCGGATGAGAGTTTTGGGACTTTCAGGATTCGATAGCCTGTCCACTACTGCCTGCCCGACGATATCAGTCATCTTGCCATCTCAATGGACGACAAGCAGGGCACTGGAACAAAACTTTACCTTCAGAATTTGAGAGATCTCTCGATGCTTCAATAGCTGACGACGGGTTGATGAACGATTGCCTGTCATCTCAGAGAGGTTGTGGCCAAATGACTGGCCGGTGGAAGCAAGGATGAAGGTCGCTTATTTTTGGTCAATCTTTCGTTCGATCAAGAGCATCTGAGTGTTGTCGAGTAATAACTCGGCTTACTGGCTCGTCTAGAAGAATATGGACTCGTAGATATTGACGAATCCTTGCAGGCTTTCCCTGCGTCATCTACAGTATTCTCAGTTCTGCTTGAGGATAAAGAATCTAGTACGATAGCTGTAGCTACAGGCTTTTTCTTATAGTCTGCCAAGAACACTCTCTAGATGGACTGCTGCTCAGGCACCTCAGTTTTGGCCTCCTTCCTGGCAAGCTTCATATCAACAGATCCCAATGATCCTGCTCTTCATGCTTCTATCTGGGTAAGCAGAAACTGATGGTCTTCCTAGGCCTTTATCTTCAACTAACAAGTGTTGAGTAATATCAAAGACCCAATCCAAGGAGTCACTCAAAACCTCTTCTTCCTCTTCCAAATGCTCGGATCTCTTAGGCCTGTTGCTACGGGTTTTCTTGAGCTTGTTCCACTCGTCAAAAAGAATCAAGGTGGAATCCAGAAAGTGTTATTTTCAGCCGTGTGGAAACCCAAGCCTCATCACGAAAGGACATTGCAGCCACAGTTGTGAGGTTCGAAGCCTCCAAGAGTCTTCTTGGTGAGGTGGAGGCACAAGGTCATAACTTCACGTTTGTTTGGTACTTCACGCCCATCTATTCCGTTGATTTTGGTTCCCGAGGATATATACATCGTAAGATGCGTCTCAGTGTATATATACTGAGTTTATTTTAATCACTACTTTGAGGATTATAGTCTGGTGGGGATAAGGTTACGTGCAGTAGACAAAGCAAATGCGATAATAATTATGGATAAGGTAGATTATAGGGGAAAAATAACATATTATTAGAAAAGAGAGGAACTGACGTGCCCCTTAATGACCCTCGTATAGTCGATAGGCTTTAAAACCCTTAAACCAATCTGCACTGACTCCACTAAACAGATGCCAGTGGAACTCCAGCTGGGGTATAATTTTGTTCTTGCCATAATCACAACTGATTTTGAAAAATGAAAAATATATCATGCACTGAGGGAAAATTCGACCTCTGGTAGCGATCACTAGATAGGATTCGATTTCAGTCAATTGACAATGGAATTCATCTCTCTCTCTCTCTCTCTCTCTCTCTCTCTCTCTCTCTCTCTCTCTCTCTCTCTCTCTCTCTCTCTCTCTCTCTCTCTCTCTTTCTCTCTCTTTCTCTCTCTCTCTCCCGGTGAATTATTTTGACCGCCATAAATTGCAGAGGTAAGATGACCGATTTACTTTCTAGTTCCCTCTAGGTAAACTCCAGTTCTCTTCTACTCCTTGTCATCCATCCTTACACCCACCATCCTCCTTGTCCAGTTTCTAACACTGTCCCTGCCTCTCCTCTCCACATCTACCCTCTCTCCCTAATTTCCCTCTGCTTCCTAACACTAGCTCTCTCTCTCTCTCTCTCTCTCTCTCTCTCTCTCTCTCTCTCTCTCTCTCTCTCCCTCTCTGTCTCTTAACTCTCCCTCAGGAGGTTCAGGAACCTCTTGTTTATTCAAGGTAATCAACTTTGTTGTGATTTACCAACTTTGCAGCGTTCTCTCTCTCTCTCTCTCTCTCTCTCTCTCTCTCTCTCTCTCTCTCTCTCTCTCTCTTCTAGTACCACCTTCATAGCCAGCATCATCCCCACCACCCTTACCATCACAAGTGCCCCTATCCTTACCACACCTATCAATATCGCCACCATCATCACTACTACCACCAGCACCACCTGTGTCTAGCCTCAGCACCTGAGTAAAGCTCACCTAACAACACCTACTAAACTGCCTCAGCCATCCAGGTGCCTCCTGTTAACCACCACAACAAGGTGCTGTCCATCATTACCTGAATCCAGGTCCAGGGACCCTACCCAGGTCCTGGAACCTAACCCCTGCCCTCTCCCCTGTCCCCGACTGCCTTCTCCCGTCCCCCTGCCTTCTCCCCTGCCTTCTCCCCTGCCCTCCTAATCTCTCAAGACACAGCTCTCCAGATGTTAATTAACTGTGTTAATTATTCAAGTAGCAATTATCTTCAAGTGTGAAGGTTGTGACTAGATTATACCTAACTCATCCCTCGGTAGGAGGGGGAAGGAAGGGGAGGGAGGGGAAAATATGGGAAGGGGGAGGGGAATTAAATTCGGAGAGAGAGATAGTTATTAGTGTCAACATTCCCTGGGACTGGTAATGAGTCTTTGTCCATCCTGAATAAAAAAACTTTTGTCAACCATCTTTTTAATCTTCAGTGCGGAGTGTTGAGGCGGCAGCTCAGAGACTGACACAAGAAGGTCTAGCTGAGTATATATAGGAAGTGTCTGTTCCGCGCTCACCAGACGGAGGATCAAGCCTACACCACGACTTGCACTGAATAATCCACATGGGTTTAAGACTTAGCATGAATTATTATTATTATTATTATTATTATTATTATTATTATTATTATTATTATTATTATTATTATTATTATTATTATTATTATTATTATTATTATTATTATTATTACTGTCAAAGACTGAGGGGGAAACTATCTTTTACCACGTAGAAGAAGGCGCGCGAAACAGCGTCGCTCTATAAACAACGTTTTGCCTCAGTGAGAGCTACGTTATACCCTGATATAAGGTCTCCTTGAGTGAAACGTTGTTATTAATTAAGGCTAACGCTGTTTCGAGAGATTTGTATCGTGTATTTTTGTCCTGGTTGGCTCTTGCATCCCCCTCTCCTCTCCACCCCAGTAAGGACATAAGAACGGTGGAACACTGCAGCAGGCCTACTGGCCCATACTAGACACGTCCTTTGCAAAGCCAAATCCACTAACAAAAGTGCCGAAGAGAAGCCTCCCCCCTCACCTTTCTTCCTGAGGTGGTCCTCAGTCATGACGGCAGCGATGGCGAAGATGTTACCCAGGGTGCCCAGCGCCGCCAGGGTAGACACCAGTAGCAACATGCCCAGGCGATTCCAGTGCTGTTGTTCATGACCTTCGTTATGTTCGCTGCTGTTGCGTCGCTCCAACTGCGTGTGGGGGTGCTGCTCGCTGCCCTCCTCCTGCTGTTGCTGCTGCTGCAGGAGCAGGTCCTCCTCCACGCCCACTACGTCCACGCCCACCACGCCCGCCACGCCCACGCGCAGCGCCGTCTGGGTCATCCAGCCCAGCACCCCGTCACTAGTCACCTCCACAGGGAAGTCAGTGGGCGGAGAGGTGACCGCCCCGTTCATCTCTACTGCATCACGCCTGAAACATGTCAACACATCTCGTTAACACCGCCATCCAGACGAAGGTTTGAGCCTGCACCGCTGACTGCGGTGCAGGTAAGATGTGAGCTGTGGTCCTAACCCCACACCTCTCCATCTCTCATCATGGGGGTTAAAACCTATCGACTACACGAGGGGTCGTTAATGTTCCATATTAGGTATTTACTACCAGTTTATACACCGAGATATACGCCTCTCAGTGTATATATCCTGCAAAAAACTATTATTAGAGTTTTATGGCAATACGGACTTGGCGCTTGTTTTAGTATAATTCTCCGCCACTCACTGAGGTAATTGACCCACACGGACTTAGCTCATAAAAACATAATCTACAATGTCAAACTGATATTTGGAATTTCCCGAGACTACCACTTGACTTAATGTTTACTGAATATCGCCCTCTTAACTTCATCATTCCATTAATCACTGCTCATCGTACCGGCGCCCGTCCTTATATAACAGCACAGTCACTCGCCAGTTTTCAACATAATTTAATATACTGACATTGTTTTTTTTCAGAGTCAGTGTCTATTTATTTTTGTAACAGCGTTCAGCTCTCTAAGTCTGTCAGACTGTCATTCGCATTTACCAGTTAAGTTGTAAACTTCTTACAAATACCGAATAATAATGGCGATAAACTGGGAGAAATCAATGAGGACAGTTACACAAAAATAAGATAGAAATTTGCACATTTACTTAATACGACAGGACAAAGGATTTCTCTAACTTATTTTACAGTTCTAGTTTATGATGCAGCAGTTCCATAACTAGAGGGAGGGACAACACAAATACCAGTAAGATGACCTAGAGGAGTGTTTACACCTTGGTTTGTATGTCTCTTGTAAAATAAGTTAAGAGAAATCCTTTGTCCTGTCGTATTAAGTAAATGTGCAAATCTCTATCTTATTTTTGTGTTCTTGACTTGTGGTGAACAGGTTACGTGCAACCTCGTGTAGTGGGTAAGTTTTAAACCCGATTAATTACCCAAGCATCCCGCTTATCCTCACGCTCGTGTGGGTCAGTCCTCCACTGACTCTCTCTCTCTCTCTCTCTCTCTCTCTCTCTCTCCTTCTGACCACCCTGGTGACTAAGGTCCTCCCTCAACTATAAATGGTTATGAGGACATGATCCCACACTCAGTCAGCGATACAAAGTCAAGAAGAGCCGTAATAAGAAGTGAAAAAGATGACCCCATCACGACAGGAGAAGTTAACACAGGTCAAGAACGGGTCATCACAACACAGCAGAGAACAGCAAGCGCCAAGGGTACATCATAAAGGTCAGTATAGGCGCGGTGAGCTTCAACACAAGCCACGGCAGGTCATCAAAGGTCATCAAAGGTCATCACAAATCGACGGAGCTCAGCACATGTGTTAAGGGGGACAGTTGACGGTGTTCCACCCTGCCAATGTCACCTGAATGACAACCAGACAAACATACAATAGTAAACCAAAGAATTTATAGAAATCCCCATAGACATCACTATAAAATAATAAGTGTGATCTTTATGTACGAAAGTACATATAGTGAAAATATGCTGTGGGATTTATGTCGGATTGTTTATGTCACAATTACGTGGTGGGAACATATTGCGACCCCTGAATGGGTCACAATGTATATAATGTATATGACCTGTTCATATAATTTTATACTGCTTATATTTGCGATATTAGCTAAATCGTAAATATATTGCTTTATATTATTATTTGACTTAGTTATATTATTAGGTAGGATGTAACATTTATATATTATTCAGTGCTCATAGTTCCAGTGTTAAGTAGCTGACAGCATTGTCTAACTACTGTAATTTTCACTCCGCTTGTTTCACTGCCTGCTTCTGTGTTGCTGGGCAGCAGCAGTCCACGGAGAGTCACGTGATCAGGGTGGGGTGAACACACCTCACCAGGAGTGAGAGACTGCCTGGCCTGTGAGCTCTTGTCTGTTTGACGTTGCTTCTAACAAGACGTGCCTCTCTAGCTCTCCCTTGCTGGCCCTTGTTGGAAGATCGTCTCTGTCGTTTTCTTGTTGTTGGTTTTGTGTAACTATGTTTACAGAACATAGCCCAGACTTGGTGATTTTCGACGTTGTACTGAGGTTGTGTCTCATAGACACTCTGAGAAACTCAGGTCCTGAGCTGTAGCTTCTGACCTAATTTGTACTGGTATCTGTGTACTGTCACAGTCGGGGATTTTTTCTAATGCTGAACTTAGATTCAGTAGTATGGGAGTTTTGTGACTTTTGTGGAGGATCTGCAAATGGTCCCTACTTAGTGTCGTTATGTTATCTCCTTGTTCCTGATTCTGTGTCGTTGTTGCTTGTTATATTGCTGTTCGGCTTATCAGTCGTTCTATTGTTCAAGCAAGCTGTTCTGATTGCCAGGTTGGTCAAGAAGTTAGTTTATGTGAGGACTTTTAGTCAGTCACTGGTTAAGTCTAGTCGAGTCTTGAGACATAGCGAACTACTTAGAGCACTTACACACATACACACAAACTTACTTGTATATATGTGTATTATGTTATTAAATGCTAACAATGTACCAGACGGTACTTAAAAGCCATAAAGATGTGATATGTGTCTTCAGCACAATACTACTGTACACCAGAGAAGAGTAGGACCTTGTATCCTGTATTATATTCAATTGATTACTATAATTTACTCTGATCTTATACGCATAGACAACTTTATTGTTATTAATAAGTTTATTAAATTTTAATCTCTTTAGTTAATAGCCTAACAGTTGTAATCCTGAAGCACTATTGAATCTTATTAAATTTTAATGGATAATTGGACAAGGATACTGACTACTTGTTACAACAACCCAGTAACAGGCTGGATGCTAGAAGGGCAGTCCTTTCCAGTAATCACTGGAGCTCTCTATCATTATTAGATATCGCGTTTTTTGTAACAGAACACAAGCTAGATGTATTGTATAGTTATATTCCGTCATACAGGAGAGGCTTCTTACGTTAATCGGTGAGATGTGTCGGCCTGAGTCTGGCAGACGCCAGTAGTTACTGAACCCTTCTACTAAGGGTTCAGTAACTACGAGTCTACGACAGCTACACATATACTGCTATGTATAGATAATCTATATATAACTGTATTTGTGTATACCAGAATAAACTCACTCAGTAAGGCGATGAAGGTATCGTCAAGCCTTCCACTAAGGGTTCAGTAGCTACGATAACTATACAGGTTTCATTCCAGCACAGAGGTTAGAAACTCAGTCATCCACGGCTGGTGTACCAGCCATGTTTCAATAAATTTCAACAGGTTTTCCACAGACTTTTAAAAAATACATGTACATAAATGATTCATGAATCAGCCACATTAAAGTTTTCCCTTACATCGCCACGATGCATCTTCAACACATGCAAAGTTTGCAACATTTGTAAGATATTTAAAAAATAAAATGACGATTTGACGTCAGTCATGTAAACAAAAAAGATGGCCGCCGCTGCTGGTCCTTATATACGGAATAATAATACTAATAATAATACAATATTTTATGAAAGTTAAAACACATGTGCAACATCTGGATATCTTTATTGTAGACGTCTAAAATAAAGATATCCAAATGTTGCACATATGTCTTTACTTTCATATTGTCGGTATTTTATACCTTTCTTGCACAACAATATTTTATATTGAAAAATGAGCCTTAAGCTCATATACGTACTGGAGAAATAATAATAATAATAATCTTATTATTATTATTATTATTATTATTTATATGTGAATCGGTAAACCCGTTTGGGTCATTTAAGAAGAGGAGCAGTGAAGGCTTGATCCTCCGTTCACTGAGAGTGACAAGTACGTCAGAGTGTTGTACTCAGGTCTACAACACTGGTGGAACTCTGTACACGAGTCGCTAAGTTGATGGAATATTACAATATTACACGATTGATGGAGAGATGGATGATGGAGGATGAGCAGCCTTCATGATCATGATCATGAAGATGGATGATGGAGGATAAACAGGCAAGATGAGGGAAGTATATTATATTATATACATTATATATTATATGTATTATATATATATATATATATATATATATATATATATTATATATATATATATATATAATATATATATATATATATAATATATATATATATATATATGTCGTGCCGAATAGGCAGAACTTGCGATCTTGGCTTAAATAGCAACGTTCATCTTGCCATATAGGACAAGTGAAAATTTGTGTATGCAATAATTTCGCCAAAATCATTCTGAACCTAACGAAAAAATATATTTCACTGTGTTTATTTAGTATTAAATTATTGTAAACAAATCTAAAATATATTTAGTTGGGTTAGGCTAAAATAAATTGTTCTTGTTATAATAAGGCTAGGTAAGTTTTCTAAGATTCTCTTGGTGCAAAATTAAAATTTTTTACATTAACATTAATGAAAAAAATATATCTTTAAACGTATAGGAGAAAATTTTAGAAAGGACTTAATTTTAAATGAGTTCTTGCTAATTGACCAGTTTTACATATTCGGCACGACATATATATTATATATATATATATATATATATATATATATATATATATATATATATATATATATATATATATATATATATATATATATATATATATATCTGTATGTATAAAGAGAGAGAGAGAGAGAGAGAGAGAGATGGGGTCCACCTCTGGTGTAAACTGTGGGACCCAGAGCCTCAGAGAAGTGTATAAAAAGGCTTCAAGGAAGAATATTTGGATTTCTTCCTGAAGCCGTTAGAAGACGATTATTAGGATAAGACTGGTGGAGCACGATACCCAGCACGGTTTCAGGGAGGGGAAAGCCTGTGTCATAATCCTACTGAGTTTTGCGGGATGGTGACAGAAGTAAGACCGGAGAGAGAGGTGTGGGGTAGACTGCATATTCTTGGACTGTAAGAAGGCATTCGACACGGTACCACACAAGAGAATGGTTCAAAAATTAGAGGAGCAGGTAGGAATAGTAATGAAA